TTGAAAATGTATCTCAGGAGGCAGCTAAGATTTTATTCATGAATTCTCCAAATAAGTCAATGAAAGGTAGCTTCTTCTATGTTTCCTAGTACTACCAAACTTACAAAACCAAATCCAAACATGAGACACTCTTCCCACTGTATTTGAAATAAAAATATATTTCCACACATATTTCAGTTACCATGTTAAAAATAAAAATTATGGCCATGAAACATAAACAGTAGATTTCTGATCATTTGCCATGTCACCTTACCAACCCAAATGTGAGTCAGTTTAAGAGTTGCCAAAACTTGTTAATAGAGTTTCCCCTAAGTCATTCTACTCTTTCAGACTTGCACTTCTGTCTTCTGTGACTTTGCACATGCTGTTCCTCCATCTCAGTTTCCTTCCCTACCTTTCCACCTGTCAAGGACCCTCAGGACCTGATTCCAATACTCCATTCTCTGTGGGCTCTTTGTTGATCACTGGCCCTTTCCCCACTGTGTTGTTAGGCAGATTAGATATTTACCCGTGTTACCAAACATGGCAAGTTGAAAGCTTCTTTACGTTAGTTCTTACTACGTAAAATTGCATGGCTTATTTATGAAAGTATAGTATAGCAGCCACAGTGTACTATTTATCTTAGCTTCCCCAGCACGTAAACAGTGAATGACACATAGTAGGTGCTCCAAAATACAAGCTATATTGATCTGTTTTGCATATATTCATAGAAATGCCTTTGGGGAAGAAATATCAATCTAAAAATTATTAATTGAACTTAACTGTCATTCTCATAAAACTAAGTAGACTATTTTGTTGTTTTTTTCTAGTTAAGTAATTTGAAGCAAGTTACATTTGTAGATATCTCAGCAAACAAGTTTTCAAGTGTCCCGATATGTGTCCTGCGGATGTCTAATTTGCAGTGGTTGGATATCAGCAACAATAACCTGAATGACCTGCCACAAGATATAGACAGGTAGCTACTTACATTCTGCAGGTGAGGTATATGAATTAGTTACTAACTCCTTGAACA